ATTTGAGCTCAAATGATACCCGAAGTGAAGTGGAGCCTAATTTCAAAAATCCCTTTGATACCATCCCTATGCCTTTTCGTTGTGGGCTTGAGAAGTGTGTAGACTTAGCTTTTGAAAGGATGAGTTTCAAAAAAGATGTTGATCTAGTGTGGTCTATGGGGAAAGGAGATAAACTCTCAAAGACACAGGAGACTAGTGAGGGTTCTAGAATGGAATCAGGTAGAGAAATTAGAACTACTCGCTCGTTCAAAGCCTCAGACCATTTAGAAAACAAGATGCAAAGTCTTCCAAGGCAAGGGTTCTTGATTTTTTTTGAAGTGAGGCTTACTGATGTACGCGTGGAGTCAGACTTACACCTGAATTGGGTTAGGCATGAAGCAGATGTTCATGGTGGAAACAATGAGCTTTCGTAAACTAAAAACGGTGGTGGTGACTAGCCTCAAATAGCCATACGAAGACCATGAGTTACATTTCCTGGAATTGTAAGGGGACGAGGTCTAACCAGACAATTCGATCTCTTCAGAAGATCATTAAATAAAAAATTTCCTTTGTTGTGTTTCTTATGGAGACCAAGCAAAAACATAATAGATTGTCCAAGCTTGGGAAAGAGATGGGTTTTCCTTATGATTACTATGTTGATCCGGTGGGCTTGCTGGAGGTCTATGCTTTGTGAGTGACTCAATAGTGGTGTTTTGTGATTCCGGAATTGAATTCCATGCAACTTGGATTTATGGCACCCCTTATAGGGAGGAGAAATATGATTGGTGGGAATTGATTCATCAGGCTATTGGTGCTAATGGTCTACCCTGGTTATGTATTGGGGATCACAATGAGATTCTGTGGGCGTTTAAAAAGAAATAAGGTAGGGTCTTTAGCCAAAATCAATGAAGGTACTTGCTAGACTTCACCAATAAAATGAGGCTGATTGATTTGGGCTATAAAGGGCCGGATTTTACTTGGAGTGGTAGGAAGGGAGATGGTTTCGTGGTGCAGGAAAGGCTTGATAGAGCTTTAATTGATGTGGCTTGGTAGGAAATGTGGCCTAGCATAGTGGTCACTCACCTCCCTACTATTGGTTCTAATCATTGCCCAATTTTGGTGAAGACTGAGGTAGTGAGTTTTCCTTATAAGAAACCTCTCAAATTTGAGGCCTTTTGGGCTGCTGATCCTAAGTGTAAGGAGGTAGTTGACCAAAGTTAGGGTGGCTTGTAAGGGAGAAACTGCTATACAAATTGGGGAATTCATTTGAGGCGATGTAGGCAGGCTCTTAAAGAGTGGAGTAGGTGGAAATTCCTGAATAATCAGAAGAAAGTTGAGGAGTTATTAAATGAACTTAACGCGACTCAACAGAATTAGGAGCCAAATAGTGATCAAATTAAGCAGCTTGGAAAAGAGATTAGTTGCATGTAGAAGAATGAGGAATTGTTTTGGAGGCAACAATCCAAAATAAAATGACAACAGGAATGGGATTCTAACACTACGTTTTTCCACAACAATACTTCTTAGGAGGAACAGAATCACAAAAATCATGAACCCCATCGGGGAGTGGGAAACCAATGATACCCGAGTCAGAGCCTCAATTGAATCCCATTTCAGCAACTCTTTCAATTTGATGGAAGCCTTTGGGTAATGCCTTAGCTTTTGTGAACCCCGTTATCTCTGACCAGATGAATGAGCAACTCTGTGAGCCTGTCATGCTTGACGAAATTAAGGCTATTATTGCTTTCCAAATGGGTGCCCTCCGCTCCTGGACGTGACAGTTTCTCAGGTATTTTTTTTATCAAACATTCTGGAGTATTGTGGATGAGGATGTTTATAGAATTGTGCAGAGTTTCTTTGCAGGTAGAGGTCATATAGGGTGGATAAACAAAACAAGATTGCTTTGATTCCTAAAGCCCTACATGAAAGGACCCGCCCCAAATTCTCCCTTGGAATCCATGACGAACTCGCTCCCTATCTGACACTAGGCATGTGTCGGCCCAAATTATTAAAATACCCTTTTTGCCCTAATTTCAAAAAACTTTAGGGCTTGACTTCTACTCAAAAAAATCGATAGAGCCTCCCTTGAAACTGGCTCAAAACCCAAAAATCTACATGTGCAGCAAACATAATTATTTCCCAAGTGTTCAGCAAGCACAAGGTATAACTGAACGTGACAGACAAATCATAAACTTTTGGCTACACCTAGGTTAGCCTAGGTTGCCTACTACCCTCATTAAGGGATCAAGCCACATGTAGTTCTTTCTACCATAAATCACAATCAAGATAATACATAAATGTTCAAAGTGAAACCAACAATAAAATTTTGAATCCTTCTTTACCTTGATTTCATCAAGCTATATAATTAAATATCATGTTATGAAATTATCTACCTAACTGTTCAATTAGTTTATCATTGTATATCCAAACACTTACATAACCATACCTTTTACCTGAAAGTCATACCTGCAACCATCTACATAGTGCAATCACCCACCAAGGAGTATATGGGAATATCATCAAATCCGAAGGCAACAGGGGAAATGGGAAACTAGCTATCTACCTGTGTAGACAAGTCGGGCAGGTGGCTAAGGATCTTGGCCTAACCTGTGTAGATAATATGAATAGGGTGGCGAAGAATATCATGTTAATTGTACCACACATTGGTACTGCACTATTTTCCATATAGATGTACCTCAAACATAATCCATCAATTCCAAGTGCTACACATGTGGAACGGCCAACTCCACATGTGTGTCGCATCCTAGTAGTACTCAGGGACACGTGGCCAACCTGAGAATACAAATAATCCGTCAATTCCCCTAGCAAGACCCAGGGTGATATACTCAACCTTAATCCGTCAATTCCCCTAGCAAGACTCAGGGAGATATACTCAACTTGAGAACGCAAATAATCCATCACCTAGCAGGACTTAGGGACAAATGGTCAATTGAGAATGCAATCCTAGCACATGGAGATACACTCAACCTGAGAAAGCAAATCCTGGCACCATACAGTTCGGGTGTCCCTGATACTCGTGCTGCAAGTCATATATGCTTAAACAAATCCAAAGGCAACTAAGGTGTTCAAAGACAATCCGAAGGCAACTATATGTCCGAAGGCAACCATATGTCCGATGACATTCCGAAGGAAACTGTATGAACGAAGACATTCCAAAGGCAACTGTATGTCCTAAGACATCAATATTTCGGAAGGCAACAATATTTTCAATTTCAAACGATTTAACACATATATAAAAATAAACATAAACATATCACCAAACATTTAAAATTAACTCAACCCAAATCTGCACAATAAAACATAAATATATGTACTGGGAAAGTAAAGGCGATAGAATAATAGTTCCATAAACAATTAATAAAAATCTTGAAGCAAAATACCAATTTAAAATCAAATAACCAAGCCACAAACACCTCCTAACCAATTAGTCCCGAACTTGCCAAGAAAGCAAAATGGGACACAAGTTCTGTGAGTCGCACAGTTTATTTTGACACAAAAAACAAGGAGATCGAGGATGCTTTGGAGCCAAGCCACATGAAGGACAAAGTAAAGAAAATGAAACTCAAGATGGTGGCTAAGAATGCAGTTGAGTACCAAGAGTAAGAGAAGGATGAAGGAGAAGAGAAGACAAAAATAGAAATAAAAGTAGATTGTAGGCGCCGCTTAAGGCTTAGGTTAGGGCAGTTCTAGCTGTTGTAGCTGGCTCCCATTGTAATAGCCGCTTAAGGCTTAGGTTAGGGCAGTTTCTGGCTGTTGTAGCTGGTCTCGCATTGTAAAGAAGGATCACTGATCCAAAGGAAGAAAGAAAAAGGAAATGTAAGGGCTTATATTTAAATGAAATGAAAATTTCTTTTGTTTATCTCGATCTCCATGTTTCGTTTTGTCTTTCTGCTCTTCGCTTCCGAAGCCTCGGAGACAATCGAGCGCAACTTTGAATCCTAGATTCGATCTTATACGTGCATCAACCTCTTCGAAGCCTAACAATCTCACGCCTCTTACAAATGGTACCCTCTCTGCTTCTCTACCTCGCCGATCCTGGTCTCTCTCTTCATCTTCTTCTAATTTCAAGCTCAGGCCATAGACTTCTATGCCTTTAAAACGTAGGTAGCCAGGAGAGCTCTGAGTCTAGCAGCATGTTTAAAAAGCTTGAGCTCGAGACGTTGTTTGGCCTCTGGTACCTATTCAACATCTACTTCAATATTTACAACAAGCAGGTAGTGTTTGTTTATTTGATTCTGATTATTATTATTATTTTGCGGAAATGTGCGATTGTTGTGGATTTGTTGATTTTAGTGTAGTTTTTGATGAACGTTAATGTTTTTGGCTATACCCGGGCATTTAAAAAAAAATAGTATAATTTATAAATAGTATAGCCGCACGGCTATACTGGTCAGCATGACCTTTCAGACGCTAGGCGGGTCTTTTTATTATTTATTAATAGTATAGCCGACTGGCTATAGTAATTTTTTTTTCCCCAAAATAGTAGCTGTACGCAAGTTTTTTTTTAATTTTTAATTTTTTAAAAATGTTCTAAGCTACACGAATTAGTGACTAAGCTCCCTACCATAAATTTCTCCATTAAAGTGTTCACGATCATGTGTTGCAAGTTTTGGTGATTGTATCTATGCCTGAGTCAAACATAGTATAGCCGGGTGGCTGTACTATTTTTTAAAATAAAAACCAGAGGTATATTGCTCTTGCTTTTCTTGAGTTTGAATCGTGGTTGCCCATTTTTCTCACGTTGATGAATAGAAGGTAGATGCTCAAATTCCTCAATGATGATTTGAATTTGAAAGAACATGAAATTCTGTAGTTTGTATTGATATCAATGAGACTGTAATGTACAAGCTTTATATAGATTGCAAATGTTATTCTAAGTAAATAGGAAATCTATTCTAAGTAAGTCAATCACAATAGCTGTGATGGACTCAATCTTAGCTAATTACTGGGATTGTTCTAATTACAATAGTTGACCAATTTATTTCCTTTAACATTCCCCCTCAAGTTGGAGTGTGAATGTCTACACCCAACTTGCCAAGATAGGATTGGAACAACGGTGCAGGCTGCAGCTTAGTGAAAATATCAGCAACTTGATGTGTTTGTTTGCACATGAGCTGTCTGGATTTCTCCATTTTGAATTCTCTCACGAACAGTATGGCAATCCAATTCAATGTGCTTGGTCCGTTCATGATAAACAGGGTTGGTTGCAATGTGGAGTGTTGCCTTGTTGTCACAAAGTAAGGTGGCTGGTTGGCGATGCTCCACTTGTAGGTCCTGTAAGAGGTATCGCAACCAAGTAAGTTCACAAGTGGTGGCTGCCATGGAGAGGTACTCAGCTTCTGCAAACGACCTTGAGACAATAACCTGCTTCTTGCTTTTCCATGATATGAGTGACCTGCCAAGAAAGATACAGTATCCAGTAACTGAGCTCCTTGTAAAAGGACATCGTGCCCAGTCCGCATCACAATATGCAATCAAGTATAGTGGCCCATTCAAAGAGAATAATAACCCTTGGCCAGGAGCTCCTTTGAGGTAGTGAAGAAGTCGACGTGCTGTGTCAAAATAGTGTTTCCGGGGCTCATGCATAAACTAACTGAGTGTATTTACTGCATATGTGATTTCTGGTCTTGTTATTGTCAGATAGATTAATTTTCCCAATAAGTCTTCGATAACAAGTAGGTCTTTAAGAGGGTCACTCCCTGTAGGCATGAGGGCAACATTGGCTTCTATAGGAATTTTTTCAGGCTCAGCACCAAGTAAGCCTGCATCTTCCAAGATGTCTAATGTATACTTCCGTTGACAAAAAGAAATGCTATACTTGGACCGTGCAATTTCAACTCCAATAAAGTACTTTAAAGGTCCAAGGTCTTTGATTTGGAAACAGGTGCTGAGAAAATGTTTAAGGTCTCGTATGGCATCATCATCATTTCCAGTGATTATCATATCGTCAACGTATAACAATATAACAGTGAAAGATTTACCATGTGTTTGTGTAAACATAGAATAATATGCTTTGGATTGAAAGAAACCAATATTCTGTATAGCAGATGAAAACTTACGAAACCAGCTTCGAGACGCCTGTTTAAGACCATATAAGGATTTGTGAAGACGACACACAGTGTGCTCCCCCTGTCGTCGATACCTCGGCGGTGGAAGCATGTAGACTTCTTCATGAAGGTCGCCATGAAGAAAAGCATTGTGCACGTCCATCTGATGAAGTGGCCCATTGTGGATAGATGCAATAGTTAGAAGACAGTGGACGGTGATAAGCTTAGCAACATGAGCAAATGTCTCAGTATAATCGATGCCTTCACGTTGGGTGAATCCTTTGGCGACCAAGCGAGCTTTATATCTCTCAATGGAACCGTCAGAATTGTATTTAATATTGAAAACCCATTTGCATCCAATCGGATGATGACCAGCTAGCAATGGAACTAAGGACCAAGTGTTGTTCTCCTCCAGAGCTGTAATTTCAGAATTCATGGCCTCAACCCACTGTGGGTTATGTCGTGCCTCCTCATAGGTGTTGGGTTCAACCAATTGAGAGATATTGTTGACAAAAATTCTATGATGCTCAGAAAAATTGGACTGAGATACGTACCGAGTGATGGGGTAGCGAGTGCCAGACGTGATTGGGGAAGGAGTGCCAGGAGCAAGCAGGGCAGCATGGCGAGCTTGGTAATCTTTGAAGTAGGAAGGAGGTTTGGTAGGGCGGGTGGATTTGCGAATAGGTGGGGAGTGGGTGTCGATGGAAGGTGAGGAGGGAATAATGGGAAGATGTGGTGCGATGGGTGGAGACGACGCTGGGGGTCAAGGGATGAAGGAGGGCGTCATCTAATGCCATGGGAGAGGGATGTGGGGAGGGAGTTGGAGAATCAGAGATGGTGAGGTCTGGGGTTACCTGGGTCTGTGGATCATGGGCTGAATGGGGATTGTGGGCCAGATGGGGTTCTAGTAGAGATAATGGGTCATGGGATGGAGTGGGTAGGACAATAGTGTCATCTTGATTTTCGGACAGGGATGTAGAAAATGGGAATATATTCACATCTCGAGAGGAAAATTTTTTTGTGTGCTAAGATCATAAAGACGATACCCTTTTGACCAAGTGGATAACCAAAGAGACACATGGACGAGCCCGTGCATCAAACTTGTGTTTAGGAAGAAGATTGGTAGCATACAAAAAGTGACAAAGACGACCAGAAAAAAACGACGGTCTAAGTGAAAACCGTCGTTGTTTTTTAAAAGACGACGGTTCTATAAAACCGCCGTGTAATAACACCTTAGACACCTAAAAAATGGAGATTCAAATGGTTGTTCATAAACAACGACGTACCTAATTAAAAAACCGACGTCTATTTGAAACAGGATTTCCGCAGTGTAAAATCAAAGCAAATAAAGAACGGCAGAAGTTATGAATCGACCGACGTAGAAAGTAAAGACGACGATTTCAAAAAAAGCCGCCGTTTTTACGCAGAAAATAACACGACCAAGTTTTCGTATAAGGCGCCATATAATTACAAATAAATCCACGGCGGTAAAATACAAAATATCGCCGTATTAAATTAATGTACAACGACGGAAAATAAAAATATATCGACGTCTTTCTTGTATAGTTCTACGACGGTATCTTTAAATCTCACCACGTTTGTTTTTCATTTAACGACGTATTATAAAATTTAACGTCGTATTTATTCCCTTTATACGTCATACCTTATATTTAAACCGTCGTCTTATATGTAAAGATGACGATTTTTTTTAAAACGTCGTCTATTATATGTAAAGATGACGATTTTATAAAACCGTCGTCTATTATATGTAAAGACGACGATTTTATAAAACCGTCGTCTATTATATGTAAAGACGACGATTTTTATTACAAAACCGTCGTCTATTATATGTAAAGATGACGATTTTTTTAAAAACCGTCGTCTATTATGTGTAAAGATGACGATTTTTTTAAAACCGTCGTCTATTATATGTAAAGATGACGATTTTATAAAACCGTCGTCTATTATATGTAAAGACGACGATTTTTATTACAAACCGTCGTCTATTATATGTAAAGATGACGATTTTTTTAAAAACCGTCGTCTATTATGTGTAAAGATGACGATTTTTTTTAAAACCGTCGTCTATTATATGTAAAGATGACGATTTTATAAAACCGTCGTCTATTATATGTAAAGATGAAGCTTTTTATAAAAAACCGAAAAAACCGTCGTCTATTGTATGTAAAGATGACGCTTTTTATAAAAAACCGAAAAAACCGTCGTCTATTGTATGTAAAGATGACGCTTTTTATAAAAACCGAAAAAACCGTCGTCTATTATATGTAAAGACGACGCTTTTTATAAAAAAACCGTCGTCTATTATATGTAAAGATGACGCTTTTTATAAAAACCGTCGTCTATTATATATAAAGATGACAATTTTTTTTTAAAAAAAGGGTCGTCTATTATATATAAAGATGACGCTTTTTTATAAAAAATGGTCGTCTATTATATGTAAAGATGATGGTTTGTTATAATAACCGTTAAATCATGATTTTTCATTTATAACCGTCGAAATTTTTTGTCCCGTTACTTTATCTTTGAATGTTTATTTTTTTCGATTTTTGGTGTAGATGATCTCGAAGTATAAACAAACAAGTTTGACGGTTGGATCGTTGAAACTAGTTTCTTAGAATGCGTATGCCATCAAAACAATATATTCACTAACAATTAAGAGTTTATTTATACTTTCGTTAAATATAACATAAGATTTTGTGGTATCCACTAGTGTAAATATTTTAAATTGAAGATCAAATTCAGTCATTGTATTCATATAGGGTCAAGGAGTGTAGCGGTAAAAAATCATCAAAATCGGAGTTAAAATAACCGTTAAATCATGATTTTTCATTTATAACCGTCGAAATTTTTTGTCCCGTTACTTTATCTCTGAATGTTTATTTTTTCTGATTTTTGGCGTATATGATCTCGAAGTATAAACAAACATGTTTGACGGTTGGATCATTGAAACTAGTTTCTTAGAATGCGTATGCCATCAAAACAATATATTCACTAACAATGAAGAGTTTATTTATACTTTCATTAAATATGACATAAGATTTTGTGGTATCCACTAGTGTAAATATTTTAAATTGAAGATCAAATTCAATCATTGTATTCATATTGGGTCAAGGAGTGTAGCGGTAAAAAATCATCAAAATCGGAGTTAAAATAACCGTTAAATCATGATTTTTCATTTATAACCGTTGAAATTTTTTGTCTCGTTACTTGATCTCTGAATGTTTATTTTTTCCGATTTTTGGCGTATATGATCTCGAAGCATAAACAAACATGTTTGACGGTTGGATCATTGAAACTAGTTTCTTAGAATGCGTATGCCATCAAAACAATATATTCACTAACAATTAAGAGTTTATTTATACTTTCGTTAAATATGACATAAGATTTTGTGGTATCCACTAGTGTAAATATTTTAAATTGAAGATCAAATTCAATCATTGTATTCATATTGGGTCAAGGAGTGTAGCGGTAAAAAATCATCAAAATCGGAGTTAAAATAACCGTTAAATCATGATTTTTCATTTATAACCGTCGAAATTTTTTGTCCCGTTACTTTATCTCTGAATGTTTATTTTTTTCGATTTTTGGTGTAGATGATCTCGAAGTATAAACAAACAAGTTTGACGGTTGGATCGTTGAAACTAGTTTCTTAAAATGCGTATGCCATAAAAAAAAATATTCACTAACAATTAAGAGTTTATTTATACTTTCGTTAAATATAACATAAGATTTTGTGGTATCCACTAGTGTAAATATTTTAAATTGAAGATCAAATTCAGTCATTGTATTCATATAGGGTCAAGAAGTGTAGTGGAAAAAAACGTCTATTGTATGTAAAGATGACGTTTTTTATAAAAACCGTCGTCTATTGTACGTAAAGATGACGCTTTTTATAAAAACCGTCGTCTATTGTACGTAAAGATGACGTTTTTTATAAAAAACCGTCGTCTATTGTATGTAAAGATGACGCTTTTTATAAAAACCGTCGTCTATTATATGTAAAGATGACGCTTTTTATAAAAAAAACCGTCGTATATTATATGTAAAGATGACAAATTTTTTTTTAAAAAAAGCGTCGTCTTTTAAAACGCGCTAAAAAATGGCCGCTTAAGTGAATTCGCGCTCGATAAATTTTCAAATTTTCACCCGTCTTTGAAAATCTTATCTCTCATTAACAAGCGTCGTCTTTTAAAACACGCTAAAAAAAGTCTACTTAAGTGAATTCGCGCTTGTCAAATTTTCAGATTTTCCCCCGTCTCTGAAAACCTTATCTCTCCCTCCTTGAAACCCTCATGCACTCTCTAAAACACCCTCATAAAACTCTCTACAAAATCATCAAAAGATCGATATCAATGAAGGAGTTGAGAGATTGAGGTCTTAGCAAATCCATAAGATGTAGAGGGATGTTCTGTATTTGAGAATCAAAGCTGGTTGAAAGGTTGATTTGAAAGTCACCTAATCTCTTAATACCCTTCTATATCTTGCTAGTGAATTCTGGATTAGTCTCTTTGCGTTTTTGGTATGTTCTTTGTATCCCTAATTTCAGATTTTGTCTTTCTTGATTTGTCTGATTTGTTTACATATTTTTTTTTATTTCTGGTTTCTTTTTAGATTTTCTGATTTGGTTATCAGGAGATGAGGAGGAAGCTTGCAGATTTATAACTTTTTCTTTTGCAGGTTTTCTATGTGAGACGTATGTTTTTTTGTTGTTGAAAATTTGCAGGTTCTCGATGGTCTTTTTTATGCTCATTTTACAAGTTTTCTATGGAAATATGGACCAATGGTAAAATTTCTCTTCCACCTAATTTTTTATGTTTATAATCTTAGCTTCTTTTTTTTTCTCTCTTTGTCATTTTGATTTATTTACAGGGATGATGGAGGAGACTTCAGTTGTGCATCATTTGTATGTTTGGATGAGGAATGCTTGGATTAGGAGTACGTAGGTCTTGTTAGGAATTATGTTTGTTGTAGAATAAAGATTGGTTAACTATGTAATAACTATTGAATCTTCAAGTTTTATGAAAGAAACTATTTTTGATAAAGCATTATGGTTGGTTTTCTAGTTAAAATCGTTGTATAGCATCATAGGAAATCAAAAAGCATTATTGTACGTAAAGATGACGCTTTTTTATAAAAACCGTCGTCTATTGTATGTAAAGAGGACGCTTTTTATAAAAACCGTCGTCTATTGTATGTAAAGATGACGCTTTTTATAAAACCGTCGTCTATTATACGTAAAGATGACGCTTTTTATAAAAAAACCGTCGTCTATTGTACGTAAAGATGACGATTTTTATAAAAAAAACGTCGTCTATTGTACGTAAAGATGACGCTTTTTATAAAAACCGTCGTCTATTATGTGTAAAGATGACGATTTTTTTTAAAAACCGTCGTCTATTATATGTAAAGATGACG